CCAGTAAATTTGCAAATATCCTCAATTTTTAATAAACACTTTAAAGCAACTTATCTCACAATTCGTAACTTCTGCTTTTAAATATGTTTTTGCAAACACCACTTTAGTAGGATATTATTAAAACAATTATTTTTTTGATAGGAAAAAGATGAAATATTATTAGGCACTTATGGCCAAATTGGAAGGAATATCGACCCTTCTAAACAATCCGTCACAAAGATAGAAGCAAGATCATGAGCAAGGCGATTGTCACGTCTCTTAACGAAGGAAAAAGAACAAACGGAAAAGAAAGACGACAGGGAAAAACCATTCATCTAAAATAGTTGCAAAGGACTTGAAAGTTCGAGTCTTTTCGCTCAAGGCATCCATAACTTGTAAGCAATCTCCTTCCACTATAATATTCCTCCATGCAATGTTCAGGAAGTAGTAATCGCTTGCAGGACTGCGTTAGCTTCACGATCTACGGGGCGAATTTGTGAATTTAGAGTTAGAACTTGTGCAATTATACCATGATTTGATTTTGTGACTTAAGTGATTTTGCCATTTCATTATCTTTGTGTTTCATATTTGACAAACCAAATTTATAATATACCATGTGGTGTATAATATACCACATCTGCTAGAGCTCTAATTTTCTACAAAAGTTGTAAAGTTTGCTAAAATTTAGCATCTACCACATCTGCTGGAGTTGCTCTAAGGAGATGTTGTAAAAATCTTTGCCCGGTGGAAAATCAGCATCAACATTGACCTTAATGATTCCCCAAGGTGGAGGTTTCCACACCTCCTCGTGGTTCGGTTTAGGAGGGCACAAGTTACGAAATTGGGCATCTTTAAAAGCGTGGAGGCATGAAAAACACCAATCAATGATCTTACTCAGCTCAAGAGCATCTTCCCCGTACTTTGTACGGTTCCTCCGATCCCAAAGTTTCCAGCACACGACTAATGCCAACAAGAAGTTATCGTCACTCAAAGTTTTCTTAAGGAGATCAATCCAGCTCTAAAAGGACATATTCTCGTCGATTGCCAATATTTGAAATGGCATTCCTGCCCACATATTCATAATGCCTTGGCACCTAAATACAACATGCAAGGTAGATTCCACCTTACTCCCACTGTAGGTGCAAAACCGGTCTTGAGCAATTCGTCGGCGAAATAATTCCAAGTTGCATGGCAAGGTTTCCGAGCAAGCTCCCTAGAGGAATATACGGATCTTAGGAAGAATGGGGAGTTTCCACACCATTTTCCAATTCCGCGATGATCCACCGCTCGTCTCTCCACCCTTGTTCATCAAAAGGCTCCCACATTAGGTCCGCCGTTCCATTATATTATGATAGCAACTCCGCACCGTGAAGTTCCACCGTTTGACAAAATACGATAACAATCCCAGTTCCCTGTGTTTCGATCAATAATATCCGAAACTGAATTGGGGGAGCTTGAATAAACTAGTCTAGGGGTGAGAACCACCGGGTTCTCCTCTCCCAAGAGCCAAGGGTCGCCCCAAATCGCGCCCCAAATCGCAGTGGAACTTCCATTCCCAATGCGGATGCGTATACTCGTACGGCAAGTATGCTCCTCCACGTAGCCGACGGTCGATAGCCCCGTGCTGCAATTATTTCACACGTATACAAAGTATCACTAAGCTAGTATACAATTAGTCAACGACTAGTCAAAACCCCTAGGCGTTCAGATTGGGGAAAACCCATCATCATCTCCTTCCTCGGAGCAGAGCAAAACCCCTTCAGTTACAGTCTTCCACTTTCTCCTCTTCTTCTTCGAAAACCCAGAAACCCTAATTCCTCCAATTTCGTCAATGGCGATAACAGAAGAACACCGCCGCATAAGGCGCCGGAAATCTAGTTCTCGAATCGACCGAATCAGCGACCTGCCGGACTCGATCCTCTGTCACATCCTCTCTTTCCTGCCGACCAAATCCTCCGTAGCAACCGCCATTCTAGCCCGAAGATGGAGGTTCCTCTGGGCTTACGTCACCACCCTAGATTTCCAATACCAAAACCAAGAGATTATCCACCGTGTCATGCTGCAGCGTAGGGCCCACACATTGATTACCTTCCACCTCGATTACGACACCCCCTGCAGCTCCTATCAACTGGAGACGTGGATCGCGTTCGCCACCGCGCGCAGTGTCGAAAGACTTGATCTTTATCTCCAAGAGCAAGATTCCTCGGACCTAGGCGATTTGCCCCCGTGCCTCTTCACATGCAAAACCCTCGTCGAACTGACGCTCGACACTTGCGGCGTCATCCCGTTAAACGCGTCCGTGTATCTGCCTCGACTAAAGAAGCTTCGCCTGATCTTCGTTCAGTACGAAGCCGACGAGTCACTTCCCGAGATGCTCGCGGGCTGTCCGGTGCTCGAGGAGTTGGAAATCGAGTTGTTCGATGACATGGTTTGCTGTGACGTGTCTTCGCCTACCGTAAAAAGGCTCGCCCTCAACTTCATTAACGAACGCAATGGTGGTAGAGCCGGGAGATTGGAGATAAATACTCCGGCACTTGAATATCTCCTGATAAATGATTATTTCTTGGATCATATCAAATGTGGGGTGCTAACCTCCTTAGTCGAAGCAGATATCAGTCTTGACATTGACTGTGAGATTCTTTATTTCCGACCCCTGCTGAGATTTTTCGATAAGCTTTGCAATGTCAAGTGCCTAGAATTAAATATATCGAACAGTGGAGAGGTATATATGCTTTTCGATCTTTCTCCGGTTTCTTTAGTGATAATTGGCATTCTTATATTTTCTATGGTAATTGCATTCTTTAATTGTAGGTTATTAACCCACTACACTCTGCTTTGACTACAAGTTTCCGTAACTTAACCGAACTCATATTGGATGCTGATTGTCGTTTTCTCTCAAAGTTCCTAAAAGCTGCTGATAACCTTGAAACGCTTATTTTATACCGTCACAGTATGAAGGTTTGTTTTTTTTTTTTCGTCGTTTCTTCGTTACTGAGAGCCTCTTTTTTTGGTTTTGTTAACTTATGTTGTTTTGGTACAATCAGTCTTGCAAAGAACTACGAGGCTGGATGGAACCACCACAACAAGTGCCCACATGCCTTTCGTCACATCTTAGAATTGTCAAGTTTGCTTACTTGCATGGTAGAAAGCACGATTTCGAAATTATAAGATATCTTTTGAGGAATGCTCGAGTCTTGGAGATGATGGAAATATCATACAGCGTATGCCTTGATTCCGATGCAAAGGTTGAAATTCTCGAGAAAATCACACGTTTTCAAAGAGGATCCACTTCATGTGAAGTTGACTTTATTCGGTCGTAAACTCCCCTTCGATGCCTATATTATCGCACGACTAATGGTTTCTTCAGAACTGATTTATCCTCTCAACTAGTTTGCATTGTGACCTACACTCTTTTCTTTCGTTTTTGGTTATTATTATATGATAAAAAGATAGTCTAGTGTGCGACGGTTTTTTCCCGGACCATCGCGAGGTCTTGATGTCTTGTATATTAATTATGAAACAATCAAATGGTATTTTAGAATTGTTCGATTTTTTTGCTAAAGAACAAAAAGTTCCCTCATAGCCAGAGTCGTGATCATCAATGGTGCTACTCGTTGCTTCCTTTACTATTTTATCGGAAAAAAAAAAAACAACTAACAAATGATAATGTAACGATTTTCAACTAGCTAGAGTTTCAGTTTAAATGTGTTTGAAAATATGTTGAAATCTAAAACTTGTACTGTATTTATAACCCACTTCTGAAATTTATTGACCAATTCCAGGGATTCCGAGTTATATCTTACCTTACACGTGTATAAATTCATTCATATTTTACTCACATCCATATGTATATGTATATGTGTATGATTTTGCGCAAATCGAAGGTGAAAAATATTCGGTGAAGTTCGTCTGGTGTAGCATAGATCATCCGATACTTCACAAAGATTACATGGAAGTGTGTATTTTTCATATTGAATGAAAGATTGATGTTTATATACCCCATACAAGTATGGAAGACTATTCTTTAAGTTCAACATTTAAAAGACTTCTGCAAAACCTCCTTAAAGCACGAAAAGTATCATCCTCGGAAAGGAACGTCTAACAATACATACATGAAAATAAATAAATATTAAAAAAATAAAAAATAAACTATGATATACAGAGAACGGGTTTGTTTCTTGAAGAAAAGAATGTTAAAAAAGGGATCGCTCCGTAATTTCTCACTTTTCATTGTAAGTCGAGTCATTTTATTGGTCCGGCTGATTTCATCTTGAATTGAAACTGCTTCGGCCGTCCCTGACGTTCTGCATTAAGAATAATGAAATTATTAAGTTGAAAGTGTCGGGGTTCGATAATGAATGTGCCTAATATGTCACTGTACATACCGTTCGCTTGAAGGATCTATTTTGTTCCGTTTTGCTGGCTTTCTCCGATTTCTCTGAATCTGGTTTCGCACGATCTAGTGCCTATAATGCCCAAAGAGGGAGAATTTTGTCACACTTTTGCCGGCTATCATATATTCAACTATTGCTCGAGCTCGACTTTTTTGAAATTTAAGTAAAATATTATTAATCTTTTTTCTTTTTTTACCAGCTCTTAATTATCTAAGGTATTAGGAGAAATTATGGGTGAATCTCATGGTAGGCATGCAAAATTCCGAATGGGAAGGGTAGTTAAGAAATACTAAATTAATTACTTATTGAGAAGCCAAATAGCATTGCATACTCACATCTATCAGTGACTCCACACGACGTCTCATCCGAGTATGCATGAAGCCCTCTGACGACTGTATACACAAAAACATTGAGATCTCATGACAAATTATGCATGGAGACAAGAGATAAAGATGTAAACAGACAGATAATCCAAGAAATACCAGAAACTTCAAAAAAAACAAAACATTTCTTGAAATAAAGAGTGCTTCTAAAGAGATGGAAAATTCAACAAGAAACCCGAAACCCGAAAACCTGTTTTTCTTAGAAGAAAAACACGTTAATAAATACTGAAATATCTTATTATCTTCATAAGGGGAACCATGCATTTAGCACCTCTTACTAAATCCTACACATATTTGAACTTTGGCTTCCTATGGGGGGATACATACTGAAAAGGGAGAGAGGTGAAGAATTAAATAAGACTAAGTATTAAAATTAACCATAAATAAATTAAGATACACTACGTGACTTCAATTGTGAGGGTGTAGAGTGTACACAATAGGAGTAGAGTACATGAAATGTTGGCTATGATTTACGAGGGTAGGGGGTGTTAAAAACGTATATGTGTAACAGTCACACAGCAATAAAAAATATATCTGCCTACTCCAACGATCATATGATGCGTTATGACTTGGTACCTACGATCAATTTTCCCAACCATATTACATATTAATTTTATTTTCTTTACTTGTTCTATGACTTTAGAACAAATAGTTCTTAATTTGCCTATAAATACTCCAAATTACGGGAAAAGAGAGAGAGAAAAAAAGGACAATGGAAGTACTTGCTGCAGTAGCAGTAATTATATAGCTTCAATGTGCATTATGCAGTTTCTAGCTTCTGTAGCACTGATCTATTAAATGACAACAGGTCACGACTTTTGGGGTGCACAGATTCTCACCTTGACATGATAGCTGACATAAGCATGAAATGTTGATAAACTCCAAACAGTTCTATCCAGCTTTCTGCCTTCCACATGGCGAGGGTATATAACTGTTCATCAGATAGAAAGATACATATGAGTGCATCGCAAAAAGATAAAAAATCGAACACAGTATCAACTAGAAATTGGGATTACCAAAACTGACGAATCCAGCATTTGCTGATAATGCTTGATCAGAAACTCCGTTCAATTCTTGAGGGGGAGAAGAAGACCATAAGCAAGGAGGGGCATTGTTAAGCCCAGCAGTTCGCCTTGCTTCCACAAATTCCTGAATGGTTGCCGGATTTTACAAGACTAAAAAGAACTTTATTAACAAACGTGCGAGTAATATAATCCATGTACCTGAAGAAAAGAAGTAGCAAGAACAGTATCTATGGAATCCTTGAAACGCATGGGGAAAATCACGGTCACCTTTTCTGCCTGCAACCAACAAACACATGACATTCAGGTCCCATAGGTATAGGATACCCCAGGTTCACCAGAACATATATAATTACATTCAAGCACCCAAATAGCACACGAGGTGAAAGTGCTTGCGAGAAATTCCAGGCATCACATTTTAAGTACATCTTTTGTGGTAAGAATAGCTTCTGCCTCAGACTAAGGGTATAGTGGATAACAGTTTATAACATCGATAAGTGTAAGATCTGAACCGATTAACATGAAAATAAACAGGGGGGCAGAAATATCGATCACACATGAAGATAGTTAGGCAGTAAGTAAACATTAAATGGAAACAACTATCCAGAATAATGAGCTGAGAACTGATAATCTCCATATATATAGTTTTCGGCAGAGTGAAAACAATGAATTTTAGAAAAGTTTAGACAAATTACCTGAGGAATAACAAAAAATGACTCGTTTGGCCGATGGACAAGGGAAACGAGCTGGTTTAAATCAGACTTAACACCTCGTGAGACAAGTTGTTTCAGAATCACTCTCAATGGTGCACCTTGCACCACTTCTCTTATAGAAGCAATCTTTACCAGGAGTGCTTGCTTTTGCTCTACAGAAGATCAGCCACAGTCAGACAAAACCCAATATTGCGGATATGAGATGCAAATGCCCAAGCACGCCAATGTCTCAATATAAGATACAAAAACACATGAAAATCTGTATTAAATGCATACATTTACTTCTCTAAATGCATGAGAAGACAGTTGTGGTGAATCGAGTGACCACAAACATTGGCGTTGATTCATGAACAAGTATCCTTAATAAGAATTAGAAAGGAAACATGATTTGAGCATAGAGATAATATTTAACAACTATCAACTTTTGAATTGCACGAAAGAGAGGAATAGACAGAATGAGACTGAACCCAAATAAGATAACACACATCCTTATGGTAACTCAAGTCGTGAATGATGTCGCAATCGGTCTGTCTTGCATTGCAGGATAAGGTGACAAGTTTGCATGCCTAAATTTCTTTAGGAATTTAAAAGGAGGTGCAACACCACTATAACCTTCTTATCAAAATTACTTTCAAGTTAGTGATGAAAATTTAATAACTTCACCAGAGCCAAGCTTTGGTTATTTGCATGCACACCAAAAAATATTAGTTACTTAGATGATTACCATTAAACTAGTTCCGAAGGTAAGGGAAATAAATATTGGAGAAGAACAGGGAAAATAGGAAAATCAGGATACCATCTGCTCATTCTTGTCTATGCGATAGAGGAGCCGAAGATAGCTGAGAACTAAAGCTCCACTTTTGGAGGGTATTTTTCTTAACAGAGAAGTGATTTTTTTATCAGCATACATGTTTCCTTAGCATAGAGGTCTAAATGGTTTACTCTTCTTTATATAGGTTTCAGGACATGCTGTCTAATTATAACACACAATGGAATTTTGTGCCTGAGTGATTTATTTGGTCTTGACACATCAGAACTAAAGTTGTAATCAATTGACCCACTATATTGCAGATATGTCGCTCGAACATGTCCAAGGTAAAAGGTGACATCCATTTCGAAACTTCACAATGTCTTTAGGGTTGTAAACTTAAGGATTTTCTGATTCAGCAAACTTCCAACTTCTATCAATTGTAAAAACTAAAAAAAATTAGAATGTATCCAAAAAAATTAAAATATGATCTCAGTAGGTACTTCAACACTAAACAGCTTGACCAGTTAATAGACTGTAGATGGAAATACACAAACCAACAGAGACATAGAATAAGGAAAAGAAGGAAATAACTCAGT